TTATGGATAAGATTAGGCTCAATCTCCTGGAAATAAATGAAAGTCAATGTGAAGTGCTCATGAAGAATGACAACTAATTTGTGACTGTGTGTGTTATATTGGCAAGGGTGTTGGTCAGTGGATCCACAGTGAGGAAAATGTAGCTGTATTTTCTTAGTCCCCTAGCCTGGGGAATTATTGTTGCCAGAAAAAGATTTAGCTACTTAGAACACTAGCGAGATAACACTTAGGTCAGTTGCTGGGGGAGGCAGAGGAAACTTTGTTCTCTTGAGTGGAAGCCACAGGTGTTTAACTTTGAAAGAACAGCTCAGGTAGCCAAGGGAAGAGGATTAAAATTCATTCAGTCTTTTCATTCACCCTATTGATTCTGAGTTAAAATATGGATGAATAAAAGGTGTTTGTGGATGTCTTTTTCAGCAGGTGAACCTTCTCAGTGAGCCTAATAATGAGTGATCAAAAGCCTTGATGCTTTTTGCCGTGCTCCGTGCTCCTTTTAGCCTTGTGAACTCTGAAGAGTGGATCTCAGTTTAATTTGAATAAGAAGGTATACAATATGTGTAACATTTAACATAGCCTCTATTGTGCACACACACACACGAAATCCTTTAAATCGTATGCTCCTGGACAGCAGCTGCACAGATGGAGTAAAAAGACTTGTGTTACCACTCACTTGTACAAGGTCACTCAGATTCACATTTCCACTGTCCTGTTTTTGTCTCTGTGCAGCTCTCCCTCGTATTCTCTCCTTTTCTTATGCTGCTCTTTCTCCTCACTTCCACATACGTACATACACATATCCACCAGTCCATAAACATGTAAACACACACAGCTTTCACTGCTATTTCGGTTATTCTTATTCTGCTACCTAGAATATTTGATATGTGAATGTCATCTCTACTTGTGGCAGTAACTGAATAACTGGTTATACTGTACTGTTCAGCCCCAGCAGCTGCTCTTTACCAGTGAACTTTCAATTGTCAAGCCCGATCCCCAACACCTTCATGTGCGGACCCAATTTTGCTCCAGTGAAAGTTGTGTAAATCCCATTACTACTGCTGCTGACTGGTGCAGCTTTTCCTTGCAGTACTTTCATTACCTCTGACATGTGGAGACATAAGCCATCAAATAAGGTTAAAGTCAGGCAAATATGGTGGATATGCAGTCGTATCCTTGAGCAACAGCTTGGAAATCCTGCT